CACACACACACACACACACACAGAAACACCCCCATGGACCGGTCCAGCTCCTGGTCCGTGTCCAGACCCAGACTGGTCTCCACTCTGTACCTCTCAGTGCTTCAGAAGTTGGACAGGTGGTCTAACAAATGTGCTGAAAACTGTATTTCTCATTTCAAATAATGTTCCTATTTGGTTGAAGATGAACTCAGACAGAACGCTTAGATGAAAGAACCAAACGTGTTTTTAGACGTTACCGGGTCTCAGAACGTTTTAAACACTCCTGTGCTGTCAGCTGAGGAACATTTTGCCTGAAACATTGTGAGGAACAACAGATTCTACATCGTTTGGCCACAGAACGTTCCCACAACGTTACACGATACTCAGCGGTCTCCGGACAGCTCTGTTCTGCCTTCAGGAGGAACACTCGGGGCTGTGGTTCTGACTCGGCCCGTGTGGCTGGAACTCACGGCGGATGTGCAGCTGCACCACCTGCTGCGTGTGGAAGCTGCCCACGCTGACGGTGCAGATGTAGGTTCCTTCGTCCTCCACCTGCAGCCCGGACAGACTCATGGAGGCGTCTCCCTCGTGGACCAGCCGAGCAGCGTCCAGGCTGGAGCCCTTCCTCTCCCCCTCCACTGAAGAACACAGAGCAGAACGTCAGAACATCTGCACACACCTCAGCCTGGCTTCATCGTTTCCTCTCAGTGCTGATATCTGCACAGTAAAGCTCTGAAGGCTTCAGGTTGATTCTCTGTGAGCCAGTGTTCCTCCATCACGTTTAATTCTTCATCGGCCTCTCGCTGGCTGGAGCTGCTGCTGACCTTCTGCTGCCTCCTAACGAGGCCTCTGATGGAACACGCTGAGGTCACGGCAGGAACCAGATGTCTGAGCTCAGAACATCCAGTCTGAGTGAATGTCCTGAGACTGAGCTCATGTTTATCGTTTTAACCTCCGACTCTTGTTGTCGATTAATTTGTTTACAGAACTTCAATGATCGAATTTAGTTTTATTCTATTAACTTTGACTTTTAATCTCTTTACTGTTCAGGTTTCTTTATGTCCCAACATCTGTTTTATTTCACTCGACTGTCGACGTGTACCTCAGCGTAGTTTAAATAAAGGTTGGATGAATGAATTCATGTCATTATAGGATCACCAGAAGACATCACTTCCTATGAATAATTATTATCATTAGTGGGGCTGCACAGCAACCTTTAGATTTACTGGAATTTGTTCTGTGACGTGAAAAAACACTTTGTGCAGATTGTAGTGAAGCTTCCTCATATTTAAATCAGTCCGACTGAGTCGGGTTCAGATGCAGGGATGAAGGTTCCTGCTCACGTTGAAGCATGTCGGTATGTTTAGTTAGAGAGGGAGCCTGGAGAGCTCCATCACTACACAACCACAGCCAGACATTTCTATTTCAGTATTTAAATCAGGTTTAAAAACTTCAGTCAGAACCAAACAACTGTCTCAAATATCAGTCAACAGAAACAGAACATGATTCTGTTTCAGTGTCCTGATGCTCCTTCAGTACTGAAATAAAAACCAAATGATGTCAGTTCAACAAAGACTCATTTCAGTTCTCTTCAGAGCTTTTTACTTTACTTCTGTTTGTTTCGGTGAAGTTCTGAGTGTCTGGAGGCCTGCTGGTGTTTGTGAGGCTGATATGAGGATAAAACTCCTTCAGCTGAACCAAGACGACTTTAAACCAATGAAAGACGTCTGTCAGCACAAACCCAAACCACCGACTCCTCCTCTGTTCTCCTCCAGGCCTCCTCTGTTAGCATTAGCTTAGCTCACAGGTGTGTCTGCTTCATGACATCACTTCCTGCCTACCTGTCAGGTAGAAAAAAGGCTGTTCTGTCTGTTTTCTGTCCTTTCTGCTACAAGATGACTTGAAAACAGCTGCAGCTCAGCGCACCGTGAGACCGGCTAGATAAACTCCTGGACCTCGACCCAGAGTGGAGGAGGTTCTGTCAGACCGACAGCAGCTGATGTGTTCTAGTCGATGAGTTTTACTTCAGGCTGATGAGTGAAATGATCTGTTGTGCTGCGTCTGTACTTATTGGCAGTTTCTCAGTGAATCATGACTTATGACACAAATCTAAAACTACAGATCTCAATGTTTTTACGTTTACCTTCATGGATACATGATTAGAACCCTGCCGGGTTTCAGGGTGTTTGTAGGTATTCAGGACATTAACTGGATCCTCATGAAGTGTCAGCAGAGGTTTGGACCCCTCTGCTTCTTCTCACCTGCTGTGCTGCCCTCTGCGTCGTCCAGCTTCGTCTTCATTTCCAGAACTTTCCGGCCTTTCCCTCGGTGCTGCAGCCTCCACTCGACGGCCACCTCCGGGTCCAACGGAACCTCTTGCTGCCTGAAGCCACAGTTGAGGAGAACTTGGCCCTTCAGAGGAGCCGAAACGGACTTAATGTGGGAGAAGACCAGGAAGATCACTGAGGAACACAAAGCAAAGACGCGGTTGAGAGGAAGGTCAGAGTCGCTGCTGTGAAGCCCGATGTTCAACTGCAGATCGGACCTTCAGTCAGCAGAGTTCCCGACCGGCTCAGAGGCAGACCCAGTTTGTTCTGCACCAGGGTGGACCGGTCCTGCTCCACCGGTGACGTCTGCAGGATCAGAGCAGTGCTGAAGTCCACTCCGTCCACGCTGAGCGACACCATGAAGAACCCTGCAGCGTCCTGCAGCCCTCGAGGAGAATATCGGCTGATTTCACACAGAACCTCCTGCTGGTTGCAGTCGGCATGAAGCAGCACGTCGGCGTTCGGGATCGCAGGAGACGAAGCTGAAACAGAGAAGACAGAAGTTCAGCACGAGCAGAGCCTGAATGAATCCAGACGTCATGGACAGAAAAGGCAGAGAAACCTTTGGCCTCGAACAGGATGAGTTCTGGATCCGGGATGGACGGCGGAACGAATGGCGTCAGAGTCTCCAGAGATTCATCAGGACCGACCGCGACGTCTCTGAGAACCAGAGTGGCTGGAGTCCGAGTGAAGAGGGCTCCTCCGCCCATCCCTCCAACTCCCTCCTCCACCAGAGCGCAGGACAGGACCACATCCGCCACCGCATCAGCTGACAGACAAGAATCAGGAACATCAACTTCATATGAAGGTTCACCTCAAGAACTCTGGGAAACCAGCAGCAGCTCTGAGGGCACCTGATCTCTAAATGAATCCCCAAAACCACCAGTCAGCCAGAAAACTGTAAAAACAGAAGAAGCCTCAGATTTGAAATTTCGTCTGCTACAAAAACGAACCAAATCCGAGCCTCAAACTGGGACATTTAATCACTTTATGTCACACGTTCAATTCAAAACATTCAGTAAAAACTAAACTAATGTTGTTCAAATATCTGCAGGTGAGTTTGGAAAAGTTCTGTTTGGAGCATTAGGGTGAGTCAGCGCCACGCTTCAATCAGGACAAACTGGTTCAGTCTTTGTTTTCAGAGACTGTAAACTGGTTCAGGTCTGAGGTGCAGAATAAGATGTTAAAAGTTAAAGGCACAGAGGAGCCGTGTAGGCATTTAAAGTGATCAACAGAATCCTGGTTCCGCCTGATTCCCACTAAACTGGATCCATAAACGGGCCTTTACTTTATGAACTCATTCAGGAAACAGTCCTCTCTGAGCTGGGACTCATAAACTACAGCTTCTCTTTAGACAATCTCCTTTAACATCACTCACACTGTTGAACTCTGAGCCTCAGCAGCAGCGTGTTACGCTCTCATGTGTCCCACCAGGAACACTGACAGGTCGGAACCAACGTCCTCTGAGCAGACGGCTGCTCAAAGCTGCCCGGATGTCACTCATATACGATCTAAACATCTGAAGAATGAAGAGCTGCACCTGATAATGACATGATTCATTCTATCAGAACGTCCACTGGTTCATGCTCACCCCGATGAGCTCCATCTGCTCACTGAAGGACACAAACATGAGCTCTGGCACAAACTCAACATTTCTCTGATAAAAGCTGATCTCTGTGATAAATGTTCTCACCACTGACGCCCTTCAAGAAGAATCCAAACAAGACGATTCCAAACATCATCCCGGAGCAGCAGAAGGTGAAGTCAGTCGATCAGGACGGTTCCTCCACTTTCACTTTTGGTTTGTCAGCCTGCAGCTCCTCTCTGACGTCTGAGCTTCTTCAGGCTTCACCTCTAAAGTCTGTCTCTGACTTTCAGCTCATCAGTGAAGTTCAGCAGCTGCAACACTCGGTCTGAGTTCTCTGAAGTTATTCTGCAGATAACGCAGCAGCTGCTTCTCTGTACTGAGCATGTGCAGAGCAGCGGTGAAAGTGAAAGTAAACGCACGGGCTCGTCCGATCACAGAGCAGCACGGAGCGGATCACGGGTCGCTATGGAAACAAACACCACGGCCCTGTTCCTCTAAATTACCGGAGAATTTCCTGTAAAGAACCGTGAAACTGAAAGTTAATACAGGTCAAATCAGAAGAGACTCATTTTACAGCAGTTCAGTTTGTGTGCTTGAACAGTTTTAGACACGATGACGTAAACATGTTGATTAATTATTATTATTATCAGAACTCAGAATCTTCAGTAATAGCTGAATGAATAATGAGTATTTAGATGACTTTAAATGGAGTCTGTGTTGAAGGAAGCTCCCGTTAACAGCCAGGTGTGGGTTTTACCTGCTGCAGACACATGAGGACGAACTCATCAGCCGAGTGCTTCACACGCAGCAAACAACCTGCAGCCTCAAGATAATCATTTAGTTTTATGGAAACAACTTCCAATGATGTGACTCCCATTCACAGAACTGAGGTGTTTTTTATTTCATAAATGTCTGTCCAGTGATTTAAAGACAAAGATAATCAACACGACGTTCAGTCATCGTACAACGTCTTGAAAAGATTCTTAAAGAAATAAGAATAAATGCACAGACGCATGTTTATCACGTCTGAGTTCCAAATGATGCCTTTAACTGACAGAAGAGTTTTTACAGTCGTGCTTATTATGATGTTTCTACCATGAAATCACTGAAACATGAATCTTTGTCACACAACTGGACCATGAACTTCATGCTGACACACTGATGGTTCTGGATCTGAAGCTGCTCTGAAACGGCTCCAAGTGACCTTCTGACTGGTTCCAGTCACTGATGTTCTTCTCCAGATCTCTGCTGAGCTCCTCAGACTTTCCCACTGTAGAGTCTGAGTCTGATGAGTGGATCAGATGGTTCTGTTGGAACTGGATCAGAGGAGTCAGCAGCTGGAGTCGATCAGAACCACTCAGGAGACGTCAGGAGGCCACGAAGATAAAAACGTGATTAATGACTTTCTACATCACCAAGACTGAAGCTTGAAGTTGCTGTGTGTATATTTAGGATCCAGTAGAAAACCTTCAACAAATCAATGGAAGAATCAAACACAGGATTGTTTTTGTTTCACTGGTTCCATCTGAGAAACATCACAACGGTCTTTTGAAGTGGATGGAACCTTTAGAACAAACTCTTTTGTGACAGCACATATATGAAGACTGCAAAGAAAAGAGCAGAGACTGGATTTAAGTTGGTTCTGGTTTTATTTTACTTTTGTTTCATTCACATTCTGAACTCCAGTCAGTCTCCGTTCTCCTGCATGATCTTACTGATCCAGGGCAGGTAGTTGGTGACTCTGGTATAGACTCCGTACGTTCCCTGTTTTCCACAGTCGATGCCCCAGCTGACGATGCCAGAAGCGTAGAACCGTCCCTGTTCTCTCAGGGTGAAGGCGCTCCCACTGTCGCCTTGGCACGAGTCCTTAGAACCCTCTGGGACTCCAGCACAGAACATGTTCTCTGTCAGGTCCGGGACGTGGGTCCTTATCCTCTTGAACATAGACACTGAGTTACTGCATGTCTCCTGATCCACCAGTGGAATCTGCACATATTTGAGCTTGTTTCTTAACATCCTGCGTCCCTGGTCTATGGTGATGCCAAAGCCTGACACCAGCCTGGAAAGACAAAAGGACACGATGAAGAGAAGAACAAGTCAGAGTGTGTTTTACAGAAGCTGGTGCAGATTGACAAGTTACTGCAACAAGGAAACAAAACACAAAAGCGGATAAAACAATTTACCGTAATCTCCGGACTATAGAGCCCCTCTGAATATAAGCCCCACCCACTAACTCTAAGCAGGAAACCAGGTGTGTTCATATCCCAGAATCTCAGAATCACTTCATCACTTCCTCAGTCTCTCTGTCGTCGTCGCTCTCAGCCTCACTTTGGTCTCGAGGCAAATTTGTAAAACTCATAAAAATTCATAAATTTGCCGCATCATTGTTTATGCCGCAGTGTTCAAAGTGTGTGAACAAAGTAGCAGCTTATAGTCCGGACATTACGGTAAACAGATTTCACAGCTTTGTTTCTTTACCCCATGATGCCGGTGTGGTATGTGGCGCCCTCTGCTGGCAAGCACAGCGGCATTACAGATGAGTTGAATGTGATCGGTTGATGCAGTTTCATCAAAGCGATGTCGTTGTTGTAGGTCAAGAGGTTGGGGTTTTTGTAACCGGGGTGAATGTGTAGCGAGGATGGAAACACAAACGTGTCTGTCAGAGTCTGAACATCAGTCTGTCCCATGTAGATCTGAAAATCAGCAGCACAAGAAGAAATCAGATCTGATAAAAACATGAAGCCAGACTTTACCTGCAGTGGACTACATACCCGAACTGTTTCAGGTGCAACCTTTTCTCCATTTTTTACCAGCACATGAGCTGCAGTCATGATCCAGCGGTCAGCGATCACCATCCCTCCTCCTCTACCTCCATCCACACTCAGCATCACCTGCCAGGGGATGGTCTTCTCTGGAGCGTCGCTGCCTCCGATGATCCTCTGGAAGCCAGAGATGAGTTCTGTTGGCTGGCCACAGACTGGAAGAGACATGGACAGGTACAGACTTCATGTTCCAAGTAAAGAAAGTCAGACGTAGATCTGGATCAGGTTTGCAGGATGAAAAGTGTTACCTGGTAAACATGTCATCCTGTCAACAATGTCGTGGGTGGATCTCCACTGTCTGTCTGCATCGCAGGTGAAATTAACTGAGGAGGAACAAAAGAAAAATGCTTTTATGTTGAGTTGAACATCAGCTGTCTGAACAACAAGCCCCCCCCACTCCTCATGGCTTCTAACTACAGAGATCCACAGCATCACGTCACCGAGTCACAGCTCTGACTGGACACATCTGTCATCTCTTTCTGAGGAGGCAGAGTTCCAGTTTGAGATCCCACTGCATCGTTCTGACCAGTTAAACCTCGTTTAAGAACGTTTAAGGGACAACGTAGATCTGATGAAGTGAATTAAAGAGACTGGAACTAGAACTATGAGGAGTCAGAACTGAACTGGAATTTCAACCAGTCAGACTTCGGCTACAGATAAACACGGTGTGAATGCAGATTCCTGAAACCTATACAGACCACTCCCCTTCCTTGTCCTTTTCCTGGGGGGTCCGCCGGCCCAGGAGCCGATCCCTGACTAAGCATTTGCCCTCTCGTTGAGGTCATCACCAACACCACTCTCAGCCAAGCTGCAGTTTGGTCCGAGCTCAGGAAATGAGCTTCTTTTTAAATTCATTTCCTGTTGTGTGTTTTGGTGACTTTTATTTATGTACGACTGAAAATCTTTTAGCGCACGAGAACCTTCACTGTGATGGTTCAGAGTTGTGCATTACAGTAAAGTTCTGACGCAGATGAACGATGAGAAGACGACGCTGGCAGAACCGACTGCAGCTCAAAGAGAGCGCTCGTGGACACCAGAGCAGGAGCAGAATCGTATCAAACTGGACGTTCATGTCTCACCGTTCACACCTCCGAGAGGTGAGTAGAAAGGTTCGTTACAGTGGTACTGAACAACAGAACGGTACTGGTTCTGGAGGCCCGACAGGACCGTCACCGCTCCGTTCAGCAGAGGTTCAGGTTCTCCACAATCGATTACTGCAGAACAACAAAATGAGAACGTATAAATGTTTGATCAGCCAAACGCTGGACAAAGACTGAACCAGTTTAAAGTGTTGAGCTTCAGTGTGAAACCAACTGTGACATTCTGGCAGAGGAAGGTGCCACCGTCCAGAACTCTGACACATCGTGGAGAAACTCTGGATCTCCTGACCATCCTAACAGGAGGAACCGTGAATCAAACATCAGCCCAGTTTCACTTAAAACACACTGACCAAGAATCACAGAAGTTTGTCTCTCTGTAACAACAGAAGATGTTGGACCCGACCATCATCAGCTTGTATCCGAGGTCACAGCGGACGTGGAGGTAGTCTCTGTAGAAATACTCCATCAGGATGGGGGTGACTCTGCCTTTAGCTACTCCACCAGGAAACGGACACTGAACTCCTGGAAACACACAAAGCATGGAGCTGACGTCTGGCGCTGCCCACAACATGCTGACCAGCGTTAGTTCTGATGCTCACTGTGGGTTCTGTAGTCCAGACTCCAGCCTCGGCTCTGTCCGGCATCATCAGTGTGGTAGTCGAGCCTCACGGTGCTGGAGTTCGTTTCCATCAGTCCTGGACTCGACCTGCCGCAGAGCTTCACGGGTTCTCTGTCTGGGAGGGTCACCTTCAGAACAGAGTGGACCAGCCGTCAGTCTGAGTCATTTTTATTACAATCAGTCGTAACTTTGTGGTTTCAGCTCCTTCAGTGTGAACATTTTCTGGTTTCTTTCCTCTGTGACGGAAAACTGAAGATCTCTGGACAAAACGAGACATCTGAGGAAACTCTGGTCCACATTTTTCAACTTGACAAAATGACAAATGTAATTTTAAGCAGCTTAAATCCAGAAAAGGAAAGCGGGATCAGCAAAGCAGAAAGAAAAGTGAGGTTGATGTGAAAATACTTTGCTCAGACAGTTTCCCAGTGAGGCTTCACCTGCAGCCAGTGGTGGAGACAGACTGAGCCGTCCTCAGTGTCCACGCTCTCGATGTGGAAGTTATCGGTGAAGTTCAGAGACACCGTGAAGCCAGGTTCTACAGAAATGATGTACTGACAGGACACAGCGTGAGGCGGCGTGTCGGGGAAACCGGGACTGAACAGGTGTCCCTCTGGTTCGTCAAAGATCCCGCCGCCACAGGACACTGGAGGAGGAAGAGCAAACGTGGACGGTACTGGCAGTTCTGGTCCGTTTACAGGCAGAACGTTAGTTAACACTGTCCTGATTTTACAGTTATGATACATTTCTATAAAATAATGATGTTTTTGCTCATTTAAATACAGTAAAACAGTTCTGACCTTTGTGTTTACTCACAGTCTGGGCCTGTTTTTACAGCTGCCATGTAAACTCTGACATTTTTCTGATTTTAGTTTAATAAACAGCAAAAACAGTAAAATTACAGCAAACTGTTCAACAAACTAAAACGACCAAAGGAACATTTTCACACTCACACACACAGGTGCGTTGGTCCGATCGCAGCTCGTAGCCATGGTGACAGGAGCACAGGTAAGAACCCAAAGTGTTGAGGCAGATCTGAGAGCAGAGCGGGCCCGACCGGTCCGGAGGTTCTGGTGCCGAACATTCATCCACGTCTGAGGAGGAGAGTTTCCCTGTTAGTGGGAGAAGGAGGAACCTGAGAACACGAATGAGGAGCTACAGCAGCAGACACCTGTGGCCTGGTAGTGGGCGGAGAAGCCCAGGTTCTGGTGCCGCTCCGGGTTGCTGTTGTCTGTCTGGAAGATGAGGGTGAGAGTGTTGCCTGGAGACAGGATGGGGTGGTTGCCGGGGTGATGCCCGTCAGCAGAGTTCTCATCACCACAAAACTTCCCCAGAAGCTTTTCCTGGTACAGAACCTGAGGAACGTTGAAAGGTGAGACGCTGGTCATCAGGAGGAAACGTTCCTGTAAAAACCTCACAGACAAGGAAAACTATCGATACGGTTTGTAGCGCTGACGAGTCCCCAGACGTCCAACTGGAGTCACATCCAGATCGCTGTGTTTAAGTCTGAAAAGATCCTGTCTGACTCCAGATTCAGGTTCAATGATAATTAAGCACTAGAACAAACACACATGCTAAATAAAGTAATCAACTGTTCCGGCATGTAGAAAGACTAATCAAGCTAGATGTCGTGATGCTTTACATCCCAGCACATCATCACAGGGTAGGCTTTGGTTCAGTGCATGTGGATGCTGAGAAACAGAATATGAAGCTCTAGAAGAATGAGGCAACAATTCAGGATGTCACAGAGATCTGTAGCAGTTGTTAAACTAATCTGGGTACCTGCTGATTACGATCAATAATCAATAACCTGGATGATTGGAAGGAGCTCAGAAAATGAACAGTTACCCTCCTTCTCCCACAGATTCAGATTCCTAACTGATTTCTGCCCCCAAGTCAGAAACACTGAGTGTGAAGACATACAAAGAACAACATGTGGTCTCATCAGGTTCAGGTCAAAGCTCCTCATGTGCTCAGAAAAACCAGGAGACCAAGACCTTCCCGTGGTCTGTCCATAATGAGCAGCGTGTCTGAGCAGAGGGCCGAGGCCAGAGGTGAACATTCACTCAGACCTGCAGCCGTATGTTGGACAGACGTCCACCTGCTAGCGCTGCTCAGGGCTGAAAAACACTTTACATTTCCATCTGTGCTGAGACTAAGACCATGAAGGCTGAGTTGATTCTGGGACTCTGGAACAGAAGGTTTTTAGTTACAGCAGCCTCCGACCAGAGCTGCAGCCCTTCAGACAAACCTCTGCTGAAGGCCAGAACCACAACTACTGTTCACTTCTAACAGATACAGACTGTTGGCTGGTCTGAAGATGATCATATTCACAGAAACATGGCTCAAAGTGTTTTAGTGCAAACTTCAGCATGTCACTGTTCAGAGGAGGTTCCTGAAGTTTTCTACTCAGTGACGGATCCTCAGAGCTTCAGTAGAACAAACGAGACCCCTCTTTCTTTCTCTGAGAAATTCCACCTTCAACCAACAGGCTTCTTCAGTTCTAACTGACTGATGGGAAGTTCCAGGTGTTTACTGTCCCCCAAAAGCACAACGAGCCAGGACTACATAGACCTACATACAGGCAGACCTACTGAAACACAGAACTATATACAGACAGACATATTGTGCTTAACAAATATATTAGACCATCACCCACTATCAGGTTTATGCCACAGCTGTCCAAAATGAACAGCTTTGGTAATTACCAGAATAAATGTGTATGTTTCTCTAGTGGTTGATGCAACAGAAGCTCTAAGACCCAAATTATGTTTTTAATGCTAAAATATAATTATTATTTTTATCCATGAATTTTCTAATTTCTTGTTTTACCAAAGCACCTTTACTGGTACCAGAGGGAACCATTTAGTGACGGTTCTCTGTGAGACACCTTTGCAGGTTCTTTAAAAGACTGTTTGCATAAATAGCTCTTCAAAGAATCTATTTTTGCTGAGGTTCTTTGGACTTATGGTGCTTAAAGGGACCATGTTTTTGGTTGTTCTCTGACGGTGTCCTGTACAGAAGACCTTTGCTAAAAGGTTCTTTGTGTATCTAAAAATGGTTCTTCCATGGTATCACTGTGAAGAACCGTTTTTGCTGTACACAGACACACAGCTGCAGCAGTGCAGTGTGTTCTGTTGGGATTCTGTGTTGGGTTCTGTGTGGAGGTTTGGTTCTGACTGTGAGCGAGTCGTAGTGGCAGCCTGCAGACGCCTCGATGTCCAGGTGGGTGAAGGTGAGTCGGATCTGGAACCCTTCAGGAACACTCAGCTCCCACTGCTGCTGCAGGTTGGGGGGGTACGGCTGGGGGAACCGGGGAGACCGGACCTCCCCGAACATCGGAGGGTCCGGGTCAGGCAGCGGTCCGCATTCACACAGCAACACAGAACACAGGAACCTGCAGAGAGTTCGATCTGTTTATCAGTCCGAGGTCACCTGAGGTCCAAAGAGCAAACAGAACAAACAGAGCAAACACAGACACACAACTGTGGAAGCAACAAAATCAGAGTTTAGACGTAACAGACGGAACATTCAGTGAATAAAACACTGTTCATCTGAACAGAACTTCAGGATTAGAACGTATCAGAACAAAATGTCCAGTAACAGCAGCTACATGCTGAAATACAAAAAAAAAATCCAAACGAGGACAAAATCTGTGTTCCAGGTAGAACATAATAAAGTGAACGTTTGAGGAGAACTTACCAGATGATCCAGTACATCTTTGGATCTGACTTTTCCATGAGCGACCTGATCGGCTGCATCGGATCAAATGTCTCACATTCAGGTGAAACATTAATATAACAAAGTGTTTAGCAACGTTCTGCGTTAATGCCAGGAACAGGCTGTTTGTTTTGGCAAAAACCAGGACAGAACTGGCTGAAGTGCACAGAAACAAACCCTCTAAAACAGGCAGGCAGGAAGAACTTTGGAGTTAAACACCTTATATGACACATGACCGCATCGTGTGATCATCTTTAGATTATTATAAATCTTTATGTTCTGAGACAACATGCAGGACTGGTGTGACTGGTTTTAAACAGCTTCAGTTTCATTTCAGTGGAAAACTTAATTCACAGCCTTTGTTTCACCACCAGGGGGAGACATTCATTGTCTCCAACATACTGGGAACCAACACAACGACGTCTTTACTAAAAAAAAATGTGTCCAAATGATAAAGATTAATTTGAACAACAAGGAAATCATTAAAAATTATTAAATTATGTCATTTCCAGGGCTGCAGGTGGTTCAGTGGTTAGCACCGTGGCCTCACAGCTAGAAGGTCGCCGGTTGGCGTCCCGGTGAGGACACCCGGGATCTTCCTGCGTGGAGTCTCCATGTTCTCCCCGTGCAGCGTGGGTTCTCTCCGGGTTCTCCGGCTTCCTCCCACAGTCCAGAAACATGCTGAGGTTAATTGGTGATTGTAAATTGTCCGTAGGTGTGAATGTGAGTGTGCTTGGTTGTCTGTCTCTAAGTGTAGCCCTGTGATAGACTGGTTACCTGTCCAGGTGAACCTGCCTTCACCCTGAGTCAGCTGGGATAGGCTCCGCCCCCCATGACCCTGGTGAGGATGAAGGTGTAGAGATGATGCATAGATGTCATTTCCAGCCAGAAGAAACCTTTTGTTCAAATAAAACCTAATTCTCATGAGAATGTGTACGAAACACGTTGAAGTGTTAATGATGAAATGATAAAACACAAGAGATGTCCAGATAATTTGCAGATGTTTCCTTTATTACCAGAGCAGTTATAATGCGTTGGTGTGTTAATGATGTTGGTACATTTGATTACAAGATCTTTATTTCCATAAGCTTTGATTGGTTATTGTGGCTGCAGCTCAGTGCCTCTCTAAGATCCGTCTTCGGTCCGGATGGTTTGTTTGATCCACTCAACGTAGTTCTCCACCTTGGTGTAGTAGCCCTTGTTGTGTCCGCCCCTGCAGGGGGCTCCCCAGGACACGACCCCGGCCAGAACATAAGGTCCTCCATCTGAGGACAACATGGGCAGAACAAACGGGCCTCCACTGTCTCCATAGCAGCTGTCCTTCCCATGAGCTCCGGCACAGAACATGTTGTTGGTGAACGTCACAGCTTTGTTGGAGAAGGTCGGTGTTTGTTGACATTCGTTCAGAGAGTAAGCGACAATGTGAGCATAATTTAACAATGGTGACTTTTGTTGATTGTGCGTCATGCCCCAGCCGGACACTGTTCCCTGCTCGTTCTCCCAGACTCCTCTGTTCGGTTCTGGCAGGCAGATCGGCAGCAAGTTTGGACCAAAGTTCACTCTGGAGGCGAATCTGATGAGAGCAATGTCGTTGTCATAGTTAATGCGTCCACTGTTGGTGCCTGTAGCGTAGCCGGGATGAATTATGATCCTCTCACTCTGCAGGACGGCGACGCCCGGCCCGCCGGCTGTCCGTCCATCTACCAGCCCACCGAACAGGACCAGAGAAGTTTGCTCAACTCCGTCCACAACATGAGCTGCTGTTACCGCCCACCGGTCGCTGATCAGAGACGCTCCTCCTCTGTTGGGTCTTCTTATCAAAAGCTGCCACGGTATTTGTCCCAGCTTTGCTTCCTGGCCTCCCAAAATCCTGCCTGCGCCTGAGAAGAAGCTTCCAGTCTGTCCGCAAACTGAGAAACACAAAAAGGCATCAACAGAGTCTGAACTCAGGATAAAAGAATCTGAGCAAAAGCATTTGTTTCTGTGTATCTCGTTAATATTATATTTTATGTTACTGCACATTTCCCTGCTGTGGGACTAATGCAGGTTTATCGGGTCTCATCCCCGCTGAAGGAGTCCTACCTGCAGTGCATTCGGGCATCGTGGTCGTCCCGTCGGCGGCCGTCCACTCCCCGCTGGCGTTGCAGCTGTACGTGTCTGAAAGAAGACGGAGCATCAGTGAAGCAGCAGCAGCAGATCAGTGAGACGGGATCAGGGATGCTCAGCTTCACTCACCGTCTCCATCCAGCCTGTAGTACTCTGAACTGCAGTTGAACTGGATCTGGTCTTTGTACTGAGTGTGAGGTGGTTCTGATCCGACCAGCTGCAAAATTCCATCCTTTGGAACATTAGGAAACCCACAGTCCACAGCTGCAGGAGGACAGACGTGAGAAAAAAACACCATGAAAGAACAAGACGTCCGAAACGCTCAGAAAACCGACATGTTTACAGAGAGACTCACGTTCGCAGGTGTAGCTGGGAGTCCAGGTACCTGTGACGTCACAGGTCGCCTCAAACTGTGATGTCAGCGCGTCGACCCAGTGCTGCTTCACAAACACAGAACCCATTAGTACCTGAAGCTTCCCACCAGGCGTTCAGCTCCTGGTTCTGTGTGACTCACGCTGTTCACCACATGTCCAACGCTGCAGGTCACCGTCACCGTCTGACCCGGATGATGTTCTGCTCGCTGAGGACTCACAGTGGAGTGTGATGTCACCGCTGCCGGACACACCTTTCCTGCAGGTAAACCAGAACAGTCAGGATCACCTCCAACGAACTTCACTACCAAAGTTCTCCCACAGAGTCTACAGAACCTCTGGTCCTGAAGTTTAGAGAGAAGCCTCTGTTGGTGCCGAAGCCATCGGAGGTGAATCGGATCCGGACGTGATGTGAGTGGGTGAGGAGGGGGGACGGGGGAGGAGAGGAACCACAGAACGGACCCAGAGTGATGGACGGAGTCTCAACCTGCAAACACAATGACAGAGTTTAAGCTTCAGACGTCCTTCGAACAGCAGGTCCTGAAGCTTCACCCTGTGAAGGTGCTGGTCCCAGTAGGACCAGTAGAAATGACTCCAGCTTCACCCTGTGAAGG